CCAAAGGCAGGTGACCTTCCCTGAAACAATCCACTCTCTGCTTGTAACTTTCTTGTCCTGTCTCCTTCTGCCTACAGAAGTCTTCCATTTTGTACCGCAGTTCAGACCTCCTTTCTATCCACTAGATGGGATGCTGCCTGATTCAAAAATCATTGAGTAAAGCCAATTAGATCTTTACATGTACTCAGTTAAATTTTGTTTTTTTTAACAACACAAATATCAAATCATTATGTTGTACATCTGAAACTAATATATTATATGTCACTTAATTTTTAAAAATTTAATTGCCAAAAAATAAAGTGTTGGAAGGCTGAAAGATAAATTAGAATATAGGCAGAGGAGAGACAAAGAGAGAGCACAAGCGAATAGTTTAGAGACAATAAGGAACAATTTGAAAGATCTAACAGCAGTCTCAAAAAAGCAAACAAACAAATACCTAAAAGAGAGAATAGAGGAAATATGAGAACATTTCTGAGATCTAAACAAAGACACAACTATTCATACTGAAAGGACACGAGGAATACTGAGCAGGATGGAGGACAGAAGATAAAATTCACATCCCTGGCTTCTGTAAGTCATCTGCACGTAACACTACTTCAGGGTTGGGCTGACGTGATCAAAGGTTTGGGGGGTTCTGGGATGAAGTAACATCACGGAGTGTGGCCATGGGCCTCCCACTAACTCTTTTTCTTCCCTCATCAAGTAGATGCCAAACTCTTCTCCAGCAATTATTATTCTACCTCCTAGTGTATGAGGATTACAGGCATTAAGACATGAACTCATTTAGCAAACTCTGGGTAATGCGTTGCTGTTGTCACCATCACTCTCCAGAAAGTCCACAGGCACTGCCTCGAGGTCCTTCCAGGGGTGCTCCACACTCACCCTCCTCAACCCACGGGTCTCCTGTCTGTCCCCAGGAAGCTCCTCCAACTTCCTCAAAGCCCTCTGGCCACTTGCTCAGACCCTTCCTACCTAGCATCATTCAAAGCTGTCTGGAAATCCCACGTCCTGCACACTACCTTTCCCGAGCAGCTGGAAGAAAGGTGGTGACTTACAGGGCCCTTCCTTCTCAGCAGATGACCCCAGGACCCGCCTCCCCATTCAACTCACATAAATAATCCCACATCACCAATCACAGACCCCCGGAGCATTTCTGCTTCAGGTAGTTTGCTCAGCTTGCAGTGCCTGCAGGCTGTGTTGTGAGGCAGGGAAATGCCCCCTAGCAGGGCCCGTAGATTTGCACCACATCCTTCATAAGTATAAGCCGCTGGCAGGCACTCTGTATCACAGTGGATAGCAGGAGGGGTCTCCTAGCTCATGGGTACTGTACTAATCCACCTCCATCACTCTCTCTCCTGCCTGTTTTAACTCCAGGATGACTGTCTACCTTAATCCTTGGCTGTCGTCTGTCATCTCCCAGGGCCCATTTCTACCTTTTTCGAAGACACCAGCTTGTGGTCCACACCATCCCTCATGACCTCGTTTTCTCATACTATTTTGGTAACTTCAAGGTCTATGTTGGTGAATCAGAAGACACACCATAACCGCATACTTCCTTATCTTCTCTAGATGGATATATGGTCATTTGAAATAAAGATATTTCTCAGTCTCCCTTGTAGCCATGTGAATAATGGCCAACTGGATATAAGCAGGAGTGCTGTGGGCGACTTTAAGAGGAGGAAGTGCATCCTTTTCTTATCCTCCTTTCATGTCAGATGGAGTGTGGATGGCTAGAGCCCGGCAGCCAATTTGGACCATGAGGTGAAAGCCACATACTGAGGACATCAAACAAGAAGATAGAAGACTGACCCCTGAGACCACAAGCTATCATGACCTCTCTGAGCTGCTTGGTTGTGGGAGAACAATAGCCATATTGTTTAAATCACTGCTATTTTTGTTATATACAGTTTAACTTAATCCTGTTCTCGGGAAGTTTAAGAGACTTCCCCCAGGTCACACGGTAAGTAACTGGCAGAGGCAAAATTTGAATGTTGGCAGTTTTACTCCAGAGCCCATAAGGACACTCATGAAAGTGGGGTTTGCCCCATCTTGAGGGCCTTACAGAGGGGGCACAGCACAAGGGACTGCAGTCATGGGCTCCAGGGGGCAACAAGAAGCTGAGAGAGTGTGTGATGGGGGAAGAAAAGGGAACAAGAGGAACACAGTGCAGAGGGAGTGGATAAGCTTTCCCGTACACTCTGCATCCTCCTTCCCATGGCACTGAGGAAGGAGACACAGGGAGAGGAAAGCTGGCACTTGGGCTGAACTAGTTACACCAGGTTTCATTCCAGGACTGTCTTTTTGTTTTTGTTTTTTTTGCGGTACGCGGGCCTCTCACTGTTGTGGCCTCTCCCATTGCGGGGCACAGGCTCCGGACGCACAGGCTCAGTGGCCATGGCTCACGGGCCCAGCTGCTCCACGGCATGTGGGATCTTCCCGGACCGGGGCACGAACCCGTGTCCCCTGCATTGGTAGGCGGACTTTCAAACACTGCACCACCAGGGAAGCCCCAGGACTGTCTTTCTATCCAATGAATACAGATGTTGATTCCTATAGCAACTCGACACTGGTATAATGTAGTTTTGTACTACTTTTGGAGATGTGGTGTAATCAGATTTACATACCCTCTGCCTCTAGAATCCCAGGAATGGAAGCTCCCAGAAAGAGCTCCATCTTTTCTTTTCACCACTGGACCTCTCTGCTTAGAATCACTTGGTGAGGTATTGGCGTGGCAGAGTGCACATACCAGTGGAACAGAACAGATGGCCCAGAAGCCATTTATGGAAACTTGAAGAGTATCTGGATAGTTCTATAAGCTCATGGGGAAAGCAGAAACTGTTCAATAAATAGTGCTGGGACAACCGTTCAGATGCAGAAAAAGAAAATTGGGCCCCTGCTAAATAAAATACACAGAAATAAATTTCAGATGAATTAAAAATCTTAATACGAAAATAAAAATTTAAGCTTTTAGAAAAACTTGAGGGTAGGGAAGGATCTCTTAAAGATTCAAAGGCATAAGCCATAGAGGTGAAAGACTGCTACATTTAACAACACTAGCATTTAAAAATTACTTTGGCATCACAGAAGACTCCAAAGGGAGGATAGGTAAGACAAGTCACAGCCTAAGAAAGATACTTGAAATGCATATAATTGACCAAAGATTAGCATCTCTCCAGAATATATATCTCAAGAGGCCTAACTATCTGTAAGTAAAAGGCTAAGCATCCAAATAAAAACTGGGCAAAGGATATGGACAAAAAACAAGGGAATCTGGGGAATTCTCTGGCAGTCCAGTGGTTAGGAGTCCGAGCTCTCAATGCCAAGGGCCCAGGTTCCATCCCTGGTTGGGGAAACTAAGATCCCACAAGCCACGCAGCGCAGCAGCAGCACGGCACAGGGATATCGCTCGGTGCTTTGTGACCGCCTGGAGCGGGGGGATAGGGAGGGTGGGAGGGAGGGAGGCGCAAGAGGGAAGAGATATGGGAACATCTGTATATGTATAAATGATTCACTTTGTTATAAAGCAGAAACTAACACACCATTGTAAAGCAATTATACCCCAATAAAGATGTTAAAAAAAAATTACAACTAAAAATCAAAAAAAAAAAAAAAAAAGCGTGGGGGAATCCACACAGTCAAAACATGAGAAGATGCTTAACTTCATTGCAAACTCAAACCTCAGGAGATAACACCTACCCAATTAACAAAAGTGAAAAATTTGATAATGCCAAGTGTTGGCAGAGCTGGGGAAAAGGGGGAACTCTCAGATGGCTGATGGGAGGATCAAGGGATTCAAGTGCTTGGGAAGCAAGTGGGAACATCCAGTCAATGAGAGGACTGCTGGTACGCACCCAAATTCACAGAACAGGATGCTCATTGCAGTAGTTCTAATACAGAAACCCTGCAAAAACCTGGAGTGTCTGTCCATCAATAGCATCACACGTAAACAGTGGAATATCACGCAATGCAATACTAAACAGTAGTTAAGACAAAGGACCGGAGCTTCATCCTTTCATCTACATACATGGGTGTCTCGGAAGGTAATATTAAAATTTTTTTAAGTGTCAAGTATGTACAGTATGATACCGTTTCTATAACGTTTAAGAAAACATGCCAACATGCAAAACTAAAGTAAACATGGATGGGAAGGACACAAGCTGACTTTAGGACAGCGGAAGGGAGTAAATACAATTGGGGCAGAACACAAATAGCACTGCAGAACTGTAAGGTTTTATTTGTACAAACAAATCTGGAGTGAATATGGAAAAAACACTAAGATTAACTGATGGGTTACAAGGTGGGGGACAGGGGTGTTTGCATGCCACTTCTCTGTTCTTCCCAGCAAATGCCTGAATTACCTTTGTTCATCCTCTGTTTTCCTCTCTTCCACTGGGGCTGCGGGTTCCCCAGGCCCCCAGCGACTCAGGGACCACACTTCCACATGCAGAGTTTCCTCAAGCATCTTTGTTTTCTCACCAGTGGCTCTTGCCCTTTTGCCTTCTCACGTTCGTTCCTTCTCCGTCTTCATATTAATCTTAACACCTAATCAGGGCACCGTTCACCTCTCCTCCCCTCACTGTCCATCTCTACCTTTTGCTTTTACCTCTAAGTGAGGCTCCGTCCCCAGCACCCCGGTCAGGCCTTTGACAAAGGTCTTTTAAGCCTAACAAGTCAAAACACTTGTCAGATCTCCTCTTTGGAAGCCCCACCCTGAGACCCCTCTTTCAAAGATAAACGTTGCCTTACTTGCCAAACTGAATGAGCTTTTCCCAGTTTTTCTTCCCCTTTAATCTCCAGGGAGCTTTTACTAACACGGCCTAGCTCTCGTCGTCTTAAAATTCTCCCTGCCTTCGGCTTTCGAGCCTGTGATGCCGCCACCCTGGGTGTCACCTGTGAGTCAGTCACAAGCCAGTGACAGCTGTCCGGATTGAGGCCTCCCGGCTTCCACGCCTGCCTCCTTCGGCTCTTCTACAAACAGCCCAGGGGAAAAGGAAGCTAAGTCAGACACCAAAGTACACGATTCTTTCATCTCCTTGTGAGACCCAGCCGGCTCCACGGCTCCTGCGTTTCTCGGGTGTCTGAGAGCCGCGCTCCCCGCGGGCCCAGCGGCCTGCTCTGCAAGCCCTCAAGGGGCTCAAATTCCGGTCTGGAGGCTGAGGTTCTCTTTGCACCTGTGAAACATGTAGAGAAAAAAAGGAAAAACCCATCTGCCCACCTCCCACCCCCCGCAGTGCCCAGAGATGTGGCCATAGAAGGAAAGGAGAGCAGGCTCCTGGGCTCCCACCTGGCCCCCGCTGGGCTGCTTCTGTTGGGGACCAGCCCTGCTCTCTCGCTCTGTGTTTTGGCGACAGCCTTGCAGTGTTCCTGAAGACAGCCAGCCGGGCACCCGCCCAGCTGTCAGACAGTGGGCCTTGGGAGTCTGTGAGCGCCTCTGCTTAGGAAACCTAGTTAAAGAAACGATCGCAGAGGTGGGGGCAGTTAAGCCTCTCTCCTCACAACTAGGCAAATCTCTTCCCTTTCGTGCCCAGAGCATGTTATCCCAGGATGCCGGGAGAGGGGCCCACACTGATGAGCAGACCAAACCCCAACACTGCAACAGGATTCGTCTATTTATTGATATTAAGACACTTCCCAGCAGTAACTGCTGTTAACAAGGACTCTAAAGGTAATAAAATGATGACAGCATCATAGACAAAGCATTGGGAACATTCCTTGCAGAGAAAATTGGCTTTTCCTCTCCGGCCAGAGTGATCAGGCGCTACATGCCGTCCCAGGCGTGACCTCCCGGTCCCGAATATACGCGCCCCGTCCTCCAGCTAGGCCCTCAGAGGACTCCAGGCTGTGGGGCGAGAGCAGGGGCCTTCCCCAAGCTCCCCCCCCCGCCGCCCACGTCTCAGAACCTTCCTCAGCTCCTCTGGACCGATTTCCCGCGTCTCCTGCTGGTGAAGCAAGTGCTCACGAAGGGGTGAGCCACGGCCTGGTGACAAAACAACCAGCACCAAAAAGCTGGTCCTTCCTCTTCACAAAGTAAACACAACATTTTTAAATCCTCTCTCTCTCTTTTTTTTTTTTTAAGGAAAGAAAAGTCTTAAAAATATATGGCACTAGAGTGTAAAACTGTACAACTGCATCCAGTTACCATTTCTCCCAGCTTCCAGGCCACGGTGCCCAGGCTTCCCCTCAGATGCAGAGCTGATGGGAGGCCAGGGTGTCCATGAAAGGCCGTACCAGGTTGTCTGTAGAGAAGTAGAAGATTAGCCCAAACGCGATGGAGATGGGGAGGGCGGGCAGCGCTTTCTTGAACACGGCGAGCAGCAGGAGGGTCAGACACAAACCCTGCAAGACACAAAGGCGAGGGGGTTGGTGGTGGCCACGGGTATGGACGGGGACGGAGAGCAGTCAGTGATGGTACAGTCCCTGGGTTCAGGAGCCCTGGACACCCCGTCATCTTCCCTGGTCCCCTCAACAGCTCTGTGAGGTGCCTGAGGGAAGGAGTTCTCACCCCGTAGCAACGCCCTGCACATGGACGGGTGAACCAGAAAGCAGGCCTCCTGACCCCTAGAACGGGGCTGCCACTACCAGACTACCTCCCCTGGCTGGCTGCTGTAGGGATGTGTGACCTGATGGTGAGAAGCTTTCCCCGAGGGGACGTATATTTATACAAGAACTGGACGGGCTGGACTGAAAGCCAGCAATGTTCTCAGCAGCTGACACCAAGGGAACTAAGATGCCATGTGACCCCGCCCTGGGGAGCAGGCACAGTGGCTGCCTATCCTGTTCCCAGCCCAGCCAATTCAGGCAGTGGTCCAGGGTGGGGACAGGGAACCACAGTGCCTGCCCTATCCCTGGGGAGAGCAGGAATTCAAGACAATCTGGAAGTGGAGGAGCCTGGGAGTTCACTACCCCATCCCAGACACACACTGGGCAAATACAGAATGTCCGAAAAACTGGAGCCTCAGCCCTAATGTGCCACGTGCCACCCGGGGTTCACCAGGCGGAACACCGAGTATGCACCGTTCAGAGCCTCCACCTCTCCAATCGCCGTAAGACGCTTCCCCATCATGTGTATCTGGCCATGTTAAGTGACATACAGGTCTCCAAATTTCACTGCTGGAGTTCAAAGTGATGGGCCCCTGTCTCAAGTCCCAGGAGATCCCATGGGGCTTCAGAACCCCATGGTGCCTGGGTGGCTTGGAGGAAAAACACACAGCCCTGGCTCCAGAGACTCGAGTTCAAATCACAGCTCGGCCCTCACAGCTTTGTCCCCGTGGGTCAGGCCCTCAACCTGTTCCGTCTTCTGTAAATCTCAGGTCACCATCCCTGCCTCGCAGGTGCTGTGAGACAAATGCAGAGCTAGCCAAGACCTCGGCACCCGGCGCACAAGCTCAGTAACGTCAGAGCCCCCGGTCACTCCTCCCCTGTGGTGTGCCTGCATCTGTTGATGACCAGAAGCTCCTGTAAACCTCGGTCTCATCTTGAGGATCTTCTTGGCAACCCTGCCCAGCCCCTCCAAGGGATAACAGCACCCGAAAATTCCCCTGGGTTCCTGGGCCCCCCACCAGACCCTCAGGGGCCCCACTGCCCAGGGCTGGGCGGGGAGCATCCCCCAGCCCACTCACAATGAGGATGGCCACAAAGCAGGCCAGCGTGGTGTTCCAGTCCCCACTGCCCGTGGCTGCCGCCTTGCCCACCAGCACGCTGTAGAAGATGAAGTCTCCAAGGCCGAGCTTCACGCCCCCTGTGTGGCAGAGACAGAGGGAGCCCATAAGTCTCGGAAGCCCCGGGAGGAAGCGGCAGAGAAGGCTGACCCTAGCCAAACGGCCCAGGTCCTCTGCCCAGCCCAGGGGCCAGAGTCCTGAGGGATGCAGAGGGCAGATGGGGTAGTGTGACTGCCCAGCTCACCTCACCTGGACTCTGGCTGCCTTGAAAAAACAGCAGCCAGTGGGAAAAAGGGGGAACCTGTAGTCTGAGTGCCTTGCATTCTGGGCTGTGCAAAGCCAGCATTTCTGATAACTCGAGTAAAACTGGTGCTCGGTGGGCTTCCCTGGTGGCGCAGTGGTTGAGAGTCCGCCTGCCAATGCAGGGGACACGGGTTC